ATTTGGCCAGAGTGTTTTCCAGGCGGTTTGTAACTTTAAGGTAGCTATTCTATAGTTATTTTTAATGATTTAAAATATTTTTTTTTCTGAAAAATCTGCTTTAAAACTCCCAAGACAAATATTACTAGAAAAAATCTTACTGACTTGGAGTTTGGGGGCTATTTTTCAACTATTTGTTCAATGGCCATTGCAGGAGACCCAGACTGCAAAGAAAACCTTAACCTGATCTTATTTTATTTTATTTTTTTAAATATTTTATTTTAGAGAGACAGAGAGAGCATCAGTAGGGAGAAGGGCAGCAGGGAAGGGTCGGGGAGAGAGACAAGCAGACTCCACATATCCAGGTTCCAGAGTTTGGAGCCTGATGGGGGATCGATCTCAGGACCCTGAGATCATGACCTCAGCCAAAACCAAGAGTCGGCCACTTAACTGACTGAGTCACCCGGGTACTCCATGAACCTGATCTTATTTTAGAGTAATAACAGCCTACATTTCTAGACAAATGGCCTATTCAGTTTTGTTTTGTTTTGTTTTGAAATAGGAGAATGTGACCTCTATCTCTGCTGGGTGGTCTGACAAAGCAAATGAATGTGTGAACATGAACTGACAGAAAGATTATCTTGAGTTCTGGCAGAAAACTTTGCTTTGAACTTTCTGCTGTTCAATTATTACCGAAAGCTTGGCTGCAGAGACACTGGATCAAAGTGGTAGAAGAAGGAGCAGAAACGGGTATGTTCACTTCCAATTTCTCACTGAGAAGGCCAGAAGATACTAATAGGTAGCCAGACAAGAGCAATGTGAGTTAGGGATTAAAAACAATCCAGAATAACAAAATTCTGATGAGATTTCCATAAATTAAAATCTTGAGGAAGACTGAGGAGGAATATAATCCTGTCTAAATGGAAATCTGGGGAACCAGCTAGAGCAGGCCCCAGATACAGCAGGAACGAACATCCCCTGCTGACCCCTTTCTGCGGTGGCCCTTCCCCACTCCCTGGACCCTGCTTCCCCATCCTGCCACAGATGTCTCCAACAACCGCCTATTTTCTGTATCCAGAGGCTACAGTCCCCAGGCCTTGTCGCATCTGGGGATGAGGGAGCACATGGTGATCACTGCACTGTGCAGTGAGGGCTCCTCAGGGACGGACCTGGAAAGCAGGTGTGCAGGGCATACACTGAGAACAGGGGCATGTTGCATCTGAATCTCTTGCCCCATAGAGAACCCAGCAGGTGGATGGAGAGCTCTCTCCTGAGCCCACTAGTAGATCCCACTGGAGGACGCCGCTTGGTACACAAAAAGGGAAGGGCAGATGGAAAACCTGCGTGGAAGCATGGACCTGAAGGGAAAGCCGGAAAATTCAGTGTGCCGAGCAGAGAACAATTTACCGTCTCCGTCTTTTGGCAAATTGGGGAGATTTCTGTCCTTCGGTGTATGAATAGGGAGAGGAAAAAAAAATACCATAAGGCTTATAAGAGGGACTATAATGCACAGGAAAAGGAAGCAAAAATACTGAGAGAAAGAGCTTATTTTAAACATGATTTTCTACAGAAAATATAAGTAAAATATAAAATATATGCTAAGTGCTCCCAATAAGATGCAAACAGTATGAAAAACAAAGTACGGGGTGATATATGGGAAAAAACTAAGTAAAAAGTCGTATATTGTTTAGCTCTAACACAATGTAGGTCTCCTTCTCTGTCACGCCAGTGGTACTTCACAGCCCCACACCTCTGCACTTGCCATCCTTCTGCCAGTGCCTTACCTTCCTCCAGGGCCTCGCAACTCCCTTCCACGCTGCCCACACACCACCTCCTCCCAAGGCCTTCCCAACTGCTGCAGGCACCACCTCATGGCTTACACCAGCCCAATGGATTTTCACAGCCCAGCACCAGACACTTCAAAGAGTATTTATAATTCACAACAGAATAACCATGAGTTCTCAATGCCGGGATTTGTATTTCATTTACTCCCATACCCCTTACTCATCATAGTTTCTGACACATAATTAAGAATAATAAACAGATGAGAGCCTTGGAAAGATAAGGATAGGTGACATCTTTCCCCACCCCCCACTGGGACCTCAATGACTGTCAGTAGGACAAAGGCAAAGGATAAGATGGAATGAGGAAATGAGATAAGGAACTAAAACAGACTGAGAATCTGCTGTGCTCAAAATATTGAAGTGCTGATTATATACTAAGGGGGCATTTGGCATCTTTTCCCCCTTTTCAAAAAATTATACTTTTAGATTATTGCCACAAACTAACTCATTGATCCTTGGGGCATGACATAATGGCCGTTGGCAGCCATCTTTTCAGAAGAGATTAGCGCCAGCACCAGAAATCCCTCATTGGAAAATGGATACTCAGAGTTTATTGGCAAATTGATTTTGGAAAACTTGAATAGCATTTCCCCTTAGAAAAAGTTTGCGTAAGTCCTTAGACCAGATGCTGCTAGATTATTTCAGAAACAAAACCGAGATTTGTTTCAGCTCCATCACCAGATAGCCAAATGGTCCTGTAACCAAAATGGTACTTCCTGCCTATCTCACAGATGTGCTGTGAACCAACTAAAATTAGGCAAGTGAAACTCCTCTGAAGAGTGCACCATGCTGTAAGAGCCAGTAGTTTAACTATTATAAAACCCAAATGCATATTAAAATACTGTCTCCAGGAAAATGCATGCTCCCTCTGCAAATGACTCCAACATGGCAGAGGGTAGACGACTCTGTTCCTGGTATCATTTGACCTTATGATCTGGGGCTCACGTGCGTGGGATTAAGAAGAGAAACAAAAGTTGTCGACCCAACTGATTTATGTGAGAAAATCATTATGGAGATAATCATCAGGATGACGGCAACATGTCAACACATTTCAAGATGTCTGAGTACAAGCAATGGTAACACAAGAGGAGTAACAAAGATGAGGTCAAGGCTGACTCAGATTCAATGCTGTCTCCTCTACTTCCTGTCAAATAATAGGCTGAAGCTGTTTCTCTCCTCAGCCTGTTTCTCGTCAGCAGCCCCTGGAAAGCCTGTTTGTTGAGAGTTTATCCCACTTGGTAAAGCCTGTCCACTGTGCAATTCAGGCAGTTTCCAGGGAGCTGGCACCTTATTTTCTTTTAGGCTTGAACTGTACACCTGCATTCCTGTGATCATGTGTCTTGCATTGGTCTTGAGAAGGAGATGACATCTGGAGTCCCCAGGAGGCTGAGTTCAGAGAAGCCACATGTTCCAGAGAGCCTTCTCCAAAAAGGAATCCTAAAGATTCCAGGGCTGCCCAAGCTCCCTCATGGCACCACTCATTCCAGCCTTGAGCCAAAAAGGCTCGTCCATCATTGAGCAAAGCCCCTTCTGGCTGAGAAGTCAGTGTGTCTAGAGAGAAGCTGCCTCATTGCGTGACATGCTGTGCCTGCGCCCGGAAGGGTTTTCCTGCGTCAGTTGCCTCCACTTCCGGGCTCCTTTCTTCCTTGTCTGCTGTGTGCTCAGGGCCTCCATGCTTTGTCCGCCTTGCCTCTGGTCAGTTCAGCCCCAGCTGCAGCTTGGCCGACTCCGCTGAGCTGACCCTCCTGCCTGAACAACTGGCCACTTCCATCAAAGCCTCTTTGGCCTTTCTAGGCACCCTCTTTTGATACTTTCCCACGCGTGTTGGGCCCATCAAGGGGGGTATCTGGCATTCTGGGAATACTTCCCCAAAACACTTTCATTCCTGTCCTATCCAGTAAAATGACAGCCATCACCTTCCAATCTGGCTGGCTAGTGTAGGAGAAAATGGTACAGCCAGTGAGAAGTACAGATGGTCCCTCTCTCTCTCCTCCCCTGCTGCCCGCCGTATGTCATCCGGCAGGGAGCCCTGGGACGCCCTCTCCAGCCAGCATCCAGTTCTGCACCAATTCTCTGGATCGAGGCAGCCCAGACTGTGGTCCCAGGCCCTGCCTACCTTGGTTATACCACCAAGGACTCAAGTCACTCATCTTCCACACCTTGAAGGACTGACTTATGAAACAGCAAAACCGTGTCTTTTAGAGGCAAAGGTCTTTCCAAATCATTCATATTTCACTTCAAGTTCTCACACTGGAGCCCACTGTGGGGCTTGAACTCACAACCCTAAGATCAAGACCTGAGCTAAAATCAAGAGTCCGATGCCTAACTGACTGAGCTACCCAGGTTCTCTTTTTACATAGGGGAAACCAAATCTTTTTTACTTACACGCCACCCTGACAAAGTCCTCACTGGTTTTTGGTCAGCCTCCCCCACTGACTAATCTTTATCTTATGTGAAAAGGACATGGAATGCCACCTGAAGGTAGATTTCAGCTAATCAGACACATTGAGAACAAAGGTAAGCAACACCAGGAAGATGCAAACTAGACTGTAATTTAGGAAAAGGCAGCACTTGTTACTGGAGTACTGAGCAAAACCAGACAACAACAAACAAAAGACGTGACCTAAATCTCTGATCTGCAACTGTGAGCTTAGGTCCATTACTTAGGCATGTCGGGCAGTTTCCTCATTCATATAAAGGAAAAAAGGACCAGTGATTCTAGTCTTTCCTAGGCCTACCATTTTATAATTTTATAAATTATATAAATTTATAAAATCAGTCTGAGATTATAAATTTCTATTCCATAAATTTCTTTATAAGCTTAAAAAGAAATTAAAATATATGGAAATATAAATCCTTAAAAACCAAGGAATTTTTAAAAATGCACACCAGAGAAACACTTGTTCTTCACAACTGTGAAGCATGAATCTATTACAAACATTTCACTATTAAAGCTTAACATTTCACAAACAAAAAGTGGTATGATTTTAATAAGTTTGCCTTTGGATCTCCTTCCTCCTCACTATTCTGTCTACTTAAAATCTATCACTATATGCCCATATGTGTATATAAACACACACACACACACACACACACACACACACACACACACGAAGTGGGAGAAAGCAAAGAAGCACCAAGATTAGCTCTGACCAAAGAGGAAGAAATGGGACTTACGGGAGCTGCGGAGTTTTTGACTGTGACACTGGGGGTGGTGGCTCGCAAGGCTCCGCTCACACCGTGGTAGTATTTGAAGCAGATCTTAGTTTCAGCTGAAAAATAAAAATCAAATGGTACTGAGAACTAGGGTATGATCCAGAAGAGAGAACCATCTCCAGAGGGACACCCCCCAGAAAATGCCCCGTAATTCCTCCCATTAGCCAAGCAGGTCTCATCTGCTGATAAGCATTCGACATATGGCTTTGTGGACAGGTCTGACATCTCTCTAAAAAGGTGTCCTCAAAATTTTCTCTTTGTACCCAAGTGAAATCCATTATTTCAACTTCTCTGCATTCATCAAACCCCCGCATCAGGCTCTCTGCTCGGCGGGGAGCCTGCTTCCCCCTCTCTCTCTGCCTGCTTGTGATCTCTCTCTGTCAAATAAATAAATAAAATCTTAAAAGAAAAAACTTAGTGGATTAAAACAGCAACCATTCATTAAAAAAAAAAAAGTTATTTGTAATAAACCCTTACTTCTGGGATTCTAGCTGGTGTAATGCCTACCACCAGCCTGTTCTGTAATTTTTGGTTATTGAATTCACTGTGATTACTATCTTAGCAACTTGGAGGACGACTTTGAGAAGTTACTGAAATACACGGATGGGAGGCATATTTTCTAAACCGTGATACCCATCAATGATAACCTATTTGCCTCATGGTTTGTTTTTCTTCAAAGTCCTTTCTATGTAAGTAGGAAAGATATGGCCATGGGGGCCCACACGGCCTGGGTTTGCCTTTTGGCTCCATTCCTAACAATCTGTGAGACAACAAGCAAGCCCCTTAACCTCCCTTACCTCATGTTTCCTGTAAAATAAACAGAACTAACAACAGTACCTACTTCATAAAAGTACTGGATAAGCAAATAAAGATCTTAGAGTGCAAATAATGCAAGATGACTAAAGACAAAATCTGTGGCCAACGTGGGTGTAGTTCATTTGAAGGTGACTTGTTTTTCCCAATTTACTGTTTGTAGGATTTTTCTTTTAAATTTGAAAAATTTGCCAGGCTATATCTTAGCCCCTTACTTAATTTTGTTTGGAACAACATGAGAAATCTCAAATTTGAGATCCTGTTTCTCAAGTCTGGGAATCCGTCATCAGCCTCAGTGTTTCAAAAAATAATTGCTATAATTTTCTTAGCTTGCATTTTAGATATGCTCATTATGGAAAATATGGACAATGAAAGGTATAAAAAAATCTTCTTTGTTTTTATGCATATGTGGGAGTATAAGCTTAATACTATATGTAGTAAAATAATAATGTAATAAAACTGCATTTTTAAAAATTAACATTAAACAGGTTCAACTATCAAACCTTTGTTGGTAATATTCGTTGTTTTATGGAATCATTGACTTGACTGGACCTTGAAGTAGGTATTCATGTAATTTTGAAAATTTGGGCTCTTCTCTAAAAATGAATGACTTTTTGAAAATTCTGTTGAGGTTCAAGTTTGTTTTTTAGGATAATGGAGTAAAACTTGCTGGTTATCTATCCAACATCCATTCTCCTTTTCCTCCTTAATACAAAAGTCTCTATTTTATTTTCAATGGTAACGTCCAGCTAAAGCACTATATTTTGGAGCCTCCCTTGCAGAAAACATTTCTGTTGTTCTCCACTGTTACTTTGGGATTTCTGTTATCTGTAAATTTTACAATACATAGAAAGCTTGCTTTCTTTTTCTTTATTTTTTATACTTTCATTTTTTTATTTACAGAGTTCAAGCACAAGTTAAAAGCACAATTAGTTCTTGACACACAAGATATGAGTACTGCAATATTATTCCTTAGAAGATGTGAATATTTTAAGGATTCCCCTTTCTTGTGGGCAAAATGCTTCTCAAAAAGCACTTTACACTTTCATCAGGAAATGTAGCCCTTGTTAATATTAAGTATTATCAATTAAGTATAAGTTTAAGTAGTATTTCATCTTTATTTCATGTATTTGATTAGTAGTAAGATTAAGCATTTTCTCATCAAATCTTTTTTTTCTTTAAAGATTTTATTTATTGGTTTATTTGACAGACAGAGATCACAAGCAGGCAGAGAGGCAGGCAGAGAGAGGAGGAAGCAGCTCCCTGCTGAGCAGAGAGCCCGATGTGGGGCTCAATGCGGGGCTCGATCCCAGGACCCTGGGATCACAACCCAAGCTGAAGGCAGGTCTTAACCCACTGAGCCACCCAGATGCCCCTCATCAAATCTTAATTAGTCATTTGTATTTACTCTTTTTTATCTATTGAACTGTACTTGTCAAGACTTCCCACCGCCTGGATGACACTTGGGTGCTCACTTTTTAGTGGATATGTTCTTCTTTTAGATACACCAATACTTTCCATTTCCCTCCTAAGTCATTCTTTCCTTGCAGTGATTTTGCATGACTGTTGATTGTCTTTTAAGCTCTTGGTGGACAATCCTAAAACCCAGTTCTGTATTCTTCAAGGCACCTCAAAGTTATCTGCACATTGTTAGGTATATACGTCCAGACCCAGTCCTGCTCTAGCCTGTAGGTTAGGGATTAGGAGGGAACACTGAATAAAGCAGTGAGCCTATAGAGCTAGGCAACCTCACTGAGCTGGTGCAATTTAAGTTCCTCTGCTTGTAGGTGCCATGACATCAGCTTGGAGGGGCCAATGGCTTCAGCTCAAGCACAGCTGGGTGGAAGGAAATTTTAGGTAAGAGGCATTCTAAACAGGCACTACTAGCTTTCCTTATGAATAAGATTATTCCAATGCCTTTAAGTAAGAAAAGTCAGGGGAGATAAGAGCCATATGATCCTCTCAGAAAAGCATTTGACAAAATACGGTATCCATTCTAGATAAAAACAAAGAAATCAACAACGTAAGGATAGATGCAACATACTTCAACATCATAGTGATATGTGAAAGACCCAGGGCTAATATGACCTTCAAAGGGGAAAAGCTAAGAGCTTTTCCTCTACAGTCAGGAATAAAACAGAGATGTCCACTCTTACCATAACTATTTAATGCAGTACTGGAAGTCTTAGCCTCAGCAATCAGACAACAAAAAGATATAAAGGCAACAAAACTGTCAAGGGAGAAGTCAAACTTTCACTATTTGCAGACAACAGTACTCTATGTAGAAAACCTGAAACAATCCACCCCCCCAAATGCTAGAACTAATACGTGAATTCAGCAAAGTTGCAGGATATATGATCAATTAAGAAATTTGTTGCATTTCTGTACACCAATAATGAAGCAGCAGAAAGAGAAATCAAGGAACTGATCCCATTTATAATTGCACCAAAACCCATAAGATACCTACTAATAAATCTAACTAAAAAAGTAAAAGATATGCACTCTGAAAACTACAGAATACTTAAGAAAGAAATAGAAGACAACACAAAGAAGTGGAAAAGCATTTGATGCTCACGGATTGGAAGAACAAACATTGTTAAAATGTCTATACTACCCAAAGCAATCAACGCATTTATTGCAATCCTATCAAAATACCACCAGCATTTTTCATAGGGCTAAAGCAAACAATCCTAAAATTTGTATGGAACCACAAAAGACCCTGAGTAGTCAAAGCAATCCTGAAAAAGAAAAGCAAAACTGGAGACACCGTGATTCTGGACTTCAAGCTATATTACAAAGCTATACTCATCAAGACAGTATGATACTGGCACAAAACCAAACACACAGATCAGTGGAACAGAATAGAAAAACCAGGATTGCACCCACAACTACATGGTCAACTTATCTTTGACAAAGCAGGAAAAAATAACCAGTGGGGGGGTGGGGGGAAGACACTCTTCAATAAAATGGTTTTGGGAAAACTGGAGAGCAACATGCAGAAGGATGAAACTGGACCACTTTCTTACACCATACACAAAAATAAATTGAAAATGGATTAGAGACTTAAATATAAGATAGGAAACCATCAAAATCCTAGAGAAGAACACAGGCGGCAACTTTTTTGACTTAGGCCATTGCAACTTCTTACCAGACCCATCATCAGAGGCAAGGGAAATGAAAGCAAAAATGAACTATTGGGACTTCATCAAGATAAAAAGCTTATCAACAAAACTAAAAGGCAGCACATGAAACGGGAGAAGATATCTGCAAGTGACATATCTTATAAAGGGTTAGTTTTCAAAATCTATAAAGAACTTACCAAATGAAACACCCCCCCCCCAAAAAAAAATCCAGTTAAGAAATGGGCAGAAGACATGAATAGACATTTTTTTTTAAGAAGACATCCAGATGGCCAACAGACACATGAAAAGATGCTCAACCTCACTCATCATCAGGGAAATGCAAATCAAAGCAATGGTGTGATACTACCTCATACTTGTCAAATGGCTAAAATTAACAACACAAGAAACAAGAGGTGTTGGAGAGGATGTGGAGAAAGGGGAATCCTCTTACACTGTTGGTGGGAATGCAAACTGGTGCAGCCACTCTGGAAAACAATATGGAGGTTCCTCTAGAAGTTAAAAATAGAGCTGCCATACAACCCAGCAATTCCACTACTAGGTATTTACCCTAAGGATGCAAAAATACAGATCTGAAGGGGTACATGTACCCTGATGTTTACAGCAGCATTATCAACAACAGCCAAACTATGGAAAGAGCCCAAATGTCCATTGGCTGATGAATGGATAAAGAAGATGTGGTATACACACACACACACACACACACACACACACGTGCGCGCACGCAAATATTATTCAGCCATCAAAAAGAATGAAATCTTGCCATTTGCAATGACACGGGTGGAGCCTACATTATGCTAAGGGATATAAGTCAGAAAGACAAATACTGTATGATCTCACTCATGTGGAATTTAAGAAAGAAAACAGATGACCATGTGGGAACAGGGAAAAGAATAAAAAAGAGAAAGGGAAACAAGCCATAAGTGACTATTAATGATAGAGAATGAATTGAGGGTTGATGGAGGGAGGTGGGTGGGGATGGGTAGATGGGTGGTGGGTATTAAAGAGGGCACTTGTGATAAGCACTGGGTATTGTATATATGTGATGAATCACTGAAGTCTACTCCAAAAACCAATACTGCTCTGTATGTTAACTAACAAAA